TTAAATGTCCATTCTCTCTCTCTATATATATGCGTGTGAGTGTGTTCTCCTTTGTTTGTTTGTCCACTTGATATCATGGACGTTCCATGCGATTGGATGAAATGAGCAACTTCCAAATGCAAATCTATTATGGGGATGGTCCCTAGTATATATAAACTCAACAACAGAAATGTATGACACTTAATGACCATTCCAAAAGGGAAAAAGTGAAAAAAAAATGTAAAAAGCAACGCTTGAGAGCCGGCAAACGTGTTGGAAATAACAACAACGATAACGACAACAACAACAACTGTAGCACAACAATGACGACAATAGGCAGTAAAAAGGATTTTATCCATGGGCTATTTACAGTGAAATTTAAAATTACAGTTTAATCTAGATTTTATCTAAGTATAAAAGCCAAGAAAGATAAGCAACGACACAGCCACTCAGTTTCTCTACACACACATACATACGCACACACACACTCTTACTCCCACCAGACTGAAACATGAAACAAATGAAAGGCTTTTTAGATTTCTATTATCTCGCAGTCGCACGCATTTGCCACTTCGGTGTGTGTCTCTCTCTCTCTCTCTCTCTCTCTCTCTCTCTCTCTCTCTCTCTCTCTCTCTCTCTCTCTCTCTCTCTCTCTTTCTCTTTCTCTCCCTCTCTCTGTGCGCGGGTTTGTATCGGTTGATATGCCAGTTACAAAGAAGACAAAGGTTCATTTACATTGCTCGAATTTTCTACACATGCAAAAGAACTCTCGCAACAGTGCACATGCAAAGCCCCGGATTATAAAGATTAGAAATTTGCATATACAACTCCATATTCAAAGAATTTGTGTGTATGATGTTATTTTCTCGGCGAGCATTTAGCGCTTAGAATGCGTTGGGTTTGACTTTTTCTTTCTTTTTCTCTCAGTCCCGCATATTTGTCGTTGTTGAAATGGCTGCGATGCTAGTGGTGATGGTGGTGGTGGTGGTTGCTACTTTTTTTCCCCTGGCCCTTTACTGTCGTCAAACAACGGCCATGGTTAAGAAGCAATATTTCGAGCGCTTAATATAGATGAAGTGCTTTAAGCACCTGCAAAAGGTCATTTCATCGCAAATGTATTGGTCCATACTTTCGTCACCATCGTTGTATTTATTTCGGCGATTAGATAGATCAAGATGTGATATTGCGTCCATCCATGAACCTCGCTCGATGCCGATCGATCTATGGGCCAAAATATGGCGGTGGTCCAGACGTGTGCAAGGTCAAAAATTCTAGGGGGGGGGGGGGTAAAATGATTTTGCCAGGGGGGTCTGGAAATCGATTCTATCTAGTGTAAAACCAGAGCGGTCAACGAGCGCTCGTTCGTTCGTTCGTATGCGAACATGTTCGTTTGTTCGTTCGTTCGTTCGTAGAATCTACGAACATGTTCGTTCGTTCGTTCGTAGAATCTACGAACATGTTCGTTCGTTCGTTCGTTCGTTCGTAGAATCTGCGAACATGTTCGTTTGTTCGTTCGTTCGTTCGTAGGTAAAATTTCATTTTTTTTTTTCAAACATAAAATTTTCTTATTTCTTAAAAAAATATAGGAATGATCCTATGTACTCAATAATACTGTAAGCACTATAATACTGTAATTTACAAGTTGTGAACATTATTTTCGCACAAAAACTAATTAAAAACATCTTCACTCAACAAAAAACATCGCTGAAAATCTTACTTTCACTCATTGTGGTTTGTGTGTCCGCTGGCGAGAATAGAATGATATGATAATTAGCTGGACATGAACGTGGAAGTTGTAAAATGATGAAAGTAATGCATACAGAGAGAGAGAGAGAGAGAGAGAGAGAGAGAGAGTGAGAGAGATAAAAATGACAAAGACAGCAAAGTTCATCTCTTTTTGTCATTTATGGTGTGCAATTCAGAGAGACTTGTTGCAGTGATGATTTAAATCACATGGACGTTCAAACAGTGTGTGTTTTACGCACTGTGTTAAATCGCCACGTGCAAAACAGTTATACGTTTAGACAATGTTTTGTTCTGTGATCGTACAACACACACAGTTCGAGAGACAACGTGCTTCATGATATCACAGCAACAAGACGAATCTGAAATGTGCACACCATACTTGGCAAAAAGAGATGAACACTGTCTTTGTCACTTTTTCTATCTCTCTCTCCGTATGCATCACTTTCTTCGTTTCACAACATTTGAAACCAGCATTATTATTGCTTATTGCATTATTATGCATCCAATTGTGCAAGTGGAAACTCAAAAAAATATTCGTTCAATTTTTTGTGCGAAAATAATGTTCACAACTTGAAAATTACAGTATTACAGTGCTTACAGTATTATTGAGTACATAAGATCATTCCTATATTTTTTTAAGAAATAAGAAAATTTTATGTTTGAAAAAAAAATGAAATTTTACCTACGAACGAACGAACAAACGAACATGTTCGTAGATTCTACGAACGAACGAACGAACGAACGAACATGTTCGTAGATTCTACGAACGAACAAACGAACGAACGAACATGTTCGTAGATTCTACGAACGAACGAACGAACAAACGAACATGTTCGCATACGAACGAACGAACGAGCGCTCGTTGACCGCTCTGTGTAAAACCAGTCTCCGAAAAAAGTGAGGACTAAAAAAAAAACCGGAATACCCCCCATCCCTTGCACACGTCTGCGGTGGTTCCAAAGAACACTTATCTACAACAGACAATAGGCCATAGCTGCTCGGTAATGATGGCTTACGTCCACATCGAAATGGAAATGTCTAAAATAGAGAGCATCAAAATAGATTCCACAATCTAATGCGTAAATACGTGTTTGAATCGAAATTTTTAGCATTCAACTTCTAAAATGTTGACTATCACTTTCAGAGTTTGACTTATCCGCCAGATATATGCTATGGCATAAAAAAAATATGCGCATATTTTTTGGTACATTTGGATTTTGTGACTAGCTTACCATGTAAATTCATATGGATATCACGAGTTTGGGACAAAAAATCGTGATATCCACATG